GCCGCAGCGGTTGCATCAGCTCCACCCAGCCCTTCGGCATGAGCCATTGCCGCCGCTGCTGCCTTCCTGGCCAAGGCTGCCTGCGCCAACTGCTTGGCCAGGTCCGCCTCCTTGCCCTCCGCCGCGGACAGCGACTGACGGAGGCGCAGCACGTTCGCGACAGCCTGTGAATGTTTGTGATCAGCATTGCGATATACTCCGTCTGCTCGGCGCACCGGCTCGACGGCCGAGGTCTCCTGCTGCTTGGACTCCTCGACCTCCTTCTCCAGCTTGACGACCTGCTGCTGGAGGGTGGCCTTGAGACTGGTATCGTCAGAGGCCACCAGCGCACGATTCCACAGCGATGCGACATCCGCTGGGTTGCCACGGTCGTCGCTGGTCTCCTCGCGCCACGGCGGCTTCGTGCCACTGCTGCGGCTGCGGCCCACCTCTGCCAGCCCCAGGGCCGCTGGCTGGTGAGGCAGTCCGCGACTCGCGGAGGATCCCCCTCGGGTGCACGAGGGTGGTCTCCTCCTGCTCACTATCAGACAGGTCGAACTGCACCTTGGGCCCCGTGGACTTCGGCTTGAAGAGCGCAACTTTCTCTCCGCAGGTGCCGCACACACGATGACTCCGAGCCAAGACACTGTTGTACTCGCAGGACTGGCATGATGCGCAGCGAGTCCGGAGGCGAGCACCGAACGCCACGGCGGCAACTAACAATGTCTCTCCTGCTCTAGTTGGTGCCGCGCAATTCCTCAGCGGGGTGCGCGGTCAAAGTCCCTCAAGCGCTTCGTGCAAGCACAGGAGGATGAGCCCCGCCAAATTGGTTCGGGCCCCCGAGTGCCCAAGTGGCTTGAGAGGAGGAGGAGGCAGAGGAGGAGGAGGAGGAGGAGGAGGAGGAGGAGGAGGAGGAGGGGAAGGAGGAATAGGAGGAGGGGGAGGGAGGCAAGCTAGGTGCGCCGCTCGCGGACCTCCAAAAATGGGCGTTTCGCCTGAGACATCCTCGAACAAATGAGATGCGCCAAGAGCTCTTGTAAGGCATTTGTTTCGGAGCGGTCTCGGATGACCTCCAAGATGGCCCAAGAAGCGAACTTATTGAAAAGCCCAGGGGTGTGTAACACCTTCGATCAAACATCAGAGTTTCGCTCGAGACAGCCCCTTAACAAACCCTTCGAACGGGCCCTCGAAACCATCTGGTTTCCTCCTCCTCTTCCTCCTCCTCCTCCTCCTCCTCGTCCTCCTCCCTCTCCTTCTCCTTTTGTTTTTCCTCCTCCTCCTCCTCGTCCCCTTCCTCCTCCTCTTCCTCCTCGTCCTCCTCCCCGCCGTCTTCCTCCCTCTACTTCCTTCTTCTCTTCCTGGTCGGTCTCCTCCTTCTCTTCCTCCTCTTTCTCCTCCTCCTCCTGTTCTTCCTCCTCCTCCTCGTCCTCTTCCTCCTCCCCCTTTCGTTCCCCCTCCTTCCCCTTCCTCGCCCCGAGGGGGCCCCTCCCGTAGGGGAGGGGTCGGGACCCCAGGGTCCTCCTGGCGCAGGCGGGGAGCGCCGGGCCCGAGGGGCGAAGAGACCCCGCACCCCGGGGGACGCCGCCAAAGTGCGGTTTCCTTCCCCCGGGGGGGTCGCCAGGTCCCGTGGCCTCCCCCAGGGCGGTGCTGGTTCCCCCCAGCGCTCGCCGCCCTGGGGCGGGACCGGCGGCTCGTCTCTGTCGTGTCGTTCGTCCGTGTCGTGTCGTCCGTGTCGCGTCGTTCGTTTCGTCCCCCTGTCGTGTCGCGTCGTGTCGTGTCGTGGCGGGCCGGGCCCCTGGGGTGGGTGGCGTGGGTTTGGCTTGGACTGGCCCCCCCCCCGTTTTGTCGGCTGCCGGGTGTTTCCGGCTGGGCCGTTTCCGGCCGACAGAACGCGGGGGGGGAGCTGGCCAGCTATTCCCATGCTGCCCGCTCGCGGGGGGCCCGCTGGCGCCGTGCGCCACCCGCGCCGTGAGCGCCCCGCGGCCGGCCGCGCGCCCGCGCGCGGGCGCCCGCCGGCCGCGGCGGCGCGCGGCGTTAGCGCAGTGCACTCCCCCTTTCGAGGGCATTCCAATCCAATCCTTCCCCTTCCTCCTCTTGTCGTCCTCCTTGTCCCCCTCCTCCTGCTCCTGTTCCTCCTCGTCCTCGTCCTCCCCCCCCCTCCCCTCCTCGCCCTCTTCTGCTGCTGCTTCTCCTTCTCCTCCTCCTCCTCGTCCTCCTCTTCCTCCTCCTCCTCCTCCTCCTCCCTTCCCCTTCTCCTCCTCCTCCTCCTCCTCCTCCTCCCCCTCCTCCTCCTCCTCCTTTTTGTTCCTCCTCTTCCTTCTTCCCCGGTCTTCGTCTTCGCCGTCGTTTTCCTCATGCGGGGGAGCGGGGACGATGCGCAGGAATATGCTTGCGAACTTTCGGGGGGCGCGTGTCCATGCGCATCCCTTGTGATCGTCCGGATAGCTCGCCTGTGGATTACATTTTATCGCGATGATGCTGCAAGTTCTTGCGCAACTCTTCAATTTCACGCGCTTCCCGCTCATGTCAGGAAATGTTTGAAAAAACGAGCGTTTCGACTGAGACATCCTCGCCAACATCGTGAAGTTGAGGGTCGTATCTTAAGACGTGTTCTGCTAAACACGGGCGCTTCGCCTGAGACATCCTCGGAACATGGGGACGTTGAAATCGTCGGTCTAATTCGCAGACCTCCAACAATGGGCGTTTCGCCTGAGACATCCTCGAACAAATGGGATGCGCCAAGAGCTCTTGTAAGGCATCTTTTCGGAGCGGTCTCGGATGACCTCCAAGATGGCCCAAGAAGCGAAGTTATTGAAACACCCAGGGGTGTTCAAGACTTTCGTTTGAGAATCAGCGCTTCGCTCGAGACATCCCCCACAACAAATCCTTCGAACGGGCCCTCGAAACCATCTGGTTTCCTCCTCTTCCTCCTTCTCTTTCTCCTCCTCCTTCTCTTTCTTCCCCTCCTCCTCCTCCTCCTTCTTCTGTTCTTCCTCCTCCACGTCCTCCTCGTCCTCTTCCTCCTTTTCTTCCTCCTCCTCTCTGCCTTTCTCCTTCTTCTCCTGGTCGGTTTCCTCCTTCTCTTCCTCCTCCTTTTTCTCCTCCTCCTTCTACTGCTCTCCCTCCTCCTCCTCGTCCTTTTCCTCCTCCTCCCGTTCTTCCTCCTTCACCTTCCTCCTCCTCCTCCTTTTCCCCCTCCTGCTCCTGTTTCTCCTCTTCCTCGTCCGCCTCCCCCTCCCCCTCTCACCCTCTTCTTCTGATGCCTCTGCTGCTGCTCCTCCTCCTCCTGCTTCTCCTCCTGCTCCCCTCCTCCTCGTCCTCCTCCTCCTCCTCCTCCTCCTCCTCCTCCTCTGCCTCCTCGTTCGTCTCCTCCTCCTCCTCTTCCTCCTCCTCCTTCTCCTCCTCCTCCTCCTGTTCTTCCTCCTCCTTCCTCTTCCTCTTCCTCCTGCTCCTCGCCGTCTTCCTCATTATCCTTCCTCCTCCTCCTCCTCGTCGGTCTCCTCCTCCTCTTCCTCCTCCTCCTCTTTCTCCTCGTCCTCCCGTTCTTCCTACATCCCCTTTCTCCTCCTCCTCGTTGTCCTTCTTTCCCCCCTCCCCCTGCTCATGTTCCTCCTCCCTCCCCTCCTCACCCTCTTTTTCTGTTGCTGCTGCTGCTGTTCCTTCTCCTCGTCCTCCTCCTCCTCCTCCTCCTCCTCCTCCTCCTCCCCTCCTCCTCTTCCTCCTTCTCCTTTTCCTCCTCATCTTCCTCCTCTCCCTTCTTCCCCGGTCGTCGTCTTCGCCGTCGTTTTCTTCATGCGGAGGAGTGGGGAGGATAGTCAGGAATCTGATTGGGAACATTCGGGGGGGGCGCGTGTCCATACGTATACATTGTGAGCGTTCGGAGAGATCGCCTGTGGATTACATTTGATCGCAATGATGTTGCTGCAACTTCTTGCACAACTCTTCCCTTTCACGCGCTCCCTGCTCATGGCAGGAAAGGCTTGAACAAGCACGAGCATTTCGCATGAGACATCCTCGCCAAATCGTGAAGTTGGGGGTCGTATCTTAAGACGTCTTTTGCTAAACATGGGCTTTTCGCCTGAGACATCCTCGGAACATGGGGATGTTGAAATCGTCGATCTAATTCGCGGACCTCCAACAATGGGCGTTTCGCCTAAGACATCCTCGAGCAAATGGGATGCGCCAAGAGCTCTTGTAAGGCATTTTTTGTCGGAGCGATCTCGGATGACCTCCAAGAGGGCCCAAGAAGCGAAATGATTGAGAAACCGATGGGTGTTTAACACTTTCGTTTTAGAATCAGCGCTTCGCTCGAGACAGCCCCTAAAATCCTTCGAACGGGCCCTCGAAACCATCTGGTTTCATTCTCCTCCTCCTCCTCTTCCTCCTTCTCCTCCTTCTCCTTCTCCTCCTCCTAGGCGTTGGGGTTCCAGGGGAGGCACGGGCGTGGTCCGCCCACCCCGTCCCCAAGACGCCCCGACCCCAGCCGCCTGCCCGTGCTCCTCGGGCGGTTGTGCAATCTCGGGCCTGACGGCCCTCACGGCCCCCGCGCTGGAGGCCCCGGGGCTGGAGTCGGTGCGGCCTCGCTCGCCCGCGCGGCACCGCCGCGGGCGTCGCCTCCGCGCCGAGGCGCGGCAGACGCCTCGCTGCGACGCCGCGCGGAGGCGGTTCGCTGGGCATCACGGCGACCTGCCCAGCGGCGCCGACGGCGCCGACGGACGCATGGCCGCATGGCCCAGCCCCCGCAGCGGCACCCCGCCCCAGGCGCGGGGCAGGGCCCCGTCTGAGCCTGCTCGGCGACGCGCTTCTGCGGCTCCCGCAACGACTTCGAGGCGCTCCGGAAGTGCGGCCGCGCGCGGTCAGGGCGCCTGCGCGAGCCCGCCCCCGTGGTGGCTGGCGCCACGCGCTCGGCATCCGCTGGCCGCCGTCGTCGCTCAGGTCCTCCTGCTGGCGACCGTGGCCCCCCTCCTGGCGACGCGGCAGCTGGAGAGCCCATCAGCCCTGACTTGGCCCGAGCCCGCCAGGGGATCCTGGCCCTGCAGAGGGCGGAGGAGCACCCGCTCATCGCGGCGGCCAGGGGCGACCCCGCTGCCTTGGAGGCAGCAGAGCGGCGAGCCCAGCCGCCAAAGCGCCTCCTCTTCGCCTTGCAGCAGCGCCTGGACGAGGCCCAGTCCAGCGCAGCCCAGGGCGAGGCCGCCCTGGCCGAGGCGCTGGCCACCATGGAGCGCCTCCGCGCGTAGCAGGCCGCCTGCGCCGAGGAGGTCGCCGCGCTCATGGCCGAGATCGTCGCAGCCCAGCGAGCGGTCGCTGCATCGTCAGCGGGGCCGACCTGGCGAACTCAGACACCGCGCTGGTCGGCCTCCAGGCTCTCCTCAGCGCAGCCCCAGCGCGCGTCGCCAGCGGCCAAGACGTGGACGTCCTGGAGGCCATCCACAGCCAGGGGTTGGCCATGAGCGCGGCCTTCCCTGCTGCCAGCGCGCTGCTGCCCAGCGCCGCTGCGCCCGCGGCGGCGGCGGCGGCGGTGCCTGCGTCTGCTGCTGTCCCAGCCGCCGCCGCCTTTCGCGCTGGCGGGGGGTCCGCCGTTGCGGCGTTGGAGGAGGCCGGCGCGACCGAAATGGGCGACTAGAGCGCGTGGCCGCCGCTGTGGCGTGAGGCGGATCTCGTCTGAGACGTACTGCTAGTCACCGAGGCACTGAACATCCCAGCGGTCGACGATTCAGTCGCTTTGCTGGTATCGCTCGAGCTGGCTGTCGTGCTGCTGGCATTGCCCGTACTGGCCGTAGACATACTTGTCTCGGTCAGCATAGTGTTGCCGACCCCGCCGCGCCCGTCAGCGACGTGCCGCTGCTCGAGGTACTGCTCGCCAGCTTCGCGGTGGTCGACCAAAATGCGGTGGTCATCGAAGATGTCTCAGAAGTCGCGCGCGGCGTGGTCGTCGAGGAACTCTCAGAAGTCGCGCGCGGCGCAGTCGCGCGCGGCGTCATGGTGCCCCTCATCGTCGGGGCCTGCACATCATAGTCGGAAGTCCCACCCATCTGGCGGCTGAGCACGTGATCGAATGTAGCCGTCGAAGCCAGCGTCGGTGGTGCCCGCGTCGGTGGTTCAGCGGGCGTCGGCGGCGCTGGATTCGATGGTGGAGCAGGCATCGACCGGTCCTTGACATTGGTGCAGGTCCTGCTGTTCGCGCCGCCCCAATTTGCCACGATGTCACTGATCGCGCTGTAGCAAGTCCGAACATCCGTGGCCGTACAGTCCGCGTCACGCAGCGCATAGCAATCAGGATCTGCGCTGCGCGCTGCTTCAGCATCAGCCCTCGAGAGTGCCGCGCCGTAGCACAGACCCGACCACGCAACGCTGTTCACCCGCGGGCCATCAACGCATGATACTTCAGCGGGTACGGTTGCCCCTGTCGCACGGCAAAACAAATCGTCGGATGAGCGCCCGCAACGCCCAGGATGCATCGACGGCGACCTTCCACGCACTTCCAACGGTGGTTTGCTGCTGCTGCTGCGAGTGGTGCTGGTGGTCACAGTCGTGCTGGTCACGCGGGCGCTGCTGATTGTGTTGGTGTTTCTGGCGCTCGTCGCGCCCGTCACAGTTGTGCTGCTGGTTGCGATGGTACTCCTGCGCGCGTTGTCGGTGCGACTCGTGGTCATCGCAATGGCGCTGCTGGTTGTCCTCGACTGGCGCGGTCTGTCCCCGTCGTTTTGGGCACCTGCTGCGCCAGCCGTGCTGTCCTCCAGGCCCGCTGCCGGCCGCGGTGACCTTCAACGGCTCGCCGTGGAACACGCGCCGCCAATTCCTGGAGCATTGCGACCAGGACGTCCTGGCGGTGGAGGCCCAGGAGCTCCGCTTGGACGGCGATGAGCTCCGACGCGCGCAGGGATGGGCGGCGAGGGAAGGGCGGCATGCGGCGCTGCCCCCCTGCGGGCGGCTCGGTCTGGCACGCCGTCGGCAGGCGCGGGCATCATCGTGGGGGGGGCACATCAACGTCGCCACCTTGCCTAGGCTAGGCAGTTTTGGTTTGGCGCCGGGTTTTGTTGTCACGTGTCAGACGGACTTTGGCATCAGAGGCGGTCTGATTTTGGTGTCTGCCTACTTCGAGGTGGGCCAGTGGGACAACGGCGCCAGCGCCGCCAGGTTCGTCGACGCGGCGACGGCGCTCCGCGGGTGGAACGGGCTTTTCTTGATGGCTTGCGACTTCATCTGCGACCCGCCCCGCCTGGACGACGACGGCCGCTTGGACTTCATCCCCGCCAAGACCGCGGCGCGGCCGCGTGGCGGGCTGAACCAGGGCGCGCGTCGCAGCGCCCAGGGCAACTACTCCAACATTGACTTCTGGATAGCCGGCCGGCCCATCGCAGGGCCGCCGGCGCCGCCTCCCCGTGCAGGGCTGGCCCGCGGCCCCGCATTTCCCGACGGCGACGGGCCTGGATGCGCGCGCCAGGCGGCCAAGTCCCTGATGCCGGCGGGCCCCGAGCCTTTCCCGAAGGCGGCCTCCGAGGGTGACTCGGCGGCGGCCCTCGGCGTCGAGCAGCAGCAGGTCATCGGGGGCGACGTGGCCTTGGGCGGCGATGCCGCGCCACACGGTGCCCAAGTGCGGCTGGGCATCTCGACTCGGCGTTCATGGGCGCTGCTGACGAGGAGCTCGTCGCGCGCTGCCGTCGCAGCGCCCGCGGGCCCGGGCCCGAACCTGGGCCTGTGCCAGGCTCGCTACCTGACGGGGGCGCCTACCTGCCAGGTTGTTGCCCGAGGGTCGACCTCGTGGACTAGGGGGGCGGCCGTCGAGGCCGCGCGCGTCGCTGCCACCTGGCCCCAGGCGTTCGCCCAAGTGCTGGAGGACAAGACCATGGCTGGGAGGCGTCGGGCTTTCGCGCAGTGGGCTTCGGACGGCCTCGACAAGCGCGCGAAGCCGCTGTTCAGCTTCGCCGAGCCCCTTGGGGCACCGCACTCAGGTGCTGCGACGCGGCAGCCACTCCACCCATCGCGCAGGACGTTGCTGATGATCAGATGATCAGATGGGCGGGTGGACCCGCATCTGGCACGCGTCTCCGACATGCCCACGCCGGGGTCGGTTGAGGGTGGGGGCGAGGGTGCTGGCAACGACGAGTTCGGCGTGAAGCATTTTTGCGATTTCGATTGTACTGCTGGGATCATGGGTTACATTCGTCGGCCCCCCAAGGCCGCCGTTCCTGTGCCGAAGGTGGGCCAGGTCAGGGCTGCGGCCAAGACCTTCAAGTGGCATGCTGGGCATGGTGCGGATCGGCTGTCTCCCCATGCGATCAGTCTCCTCGCGGACGACACCACTGCGCTCCTGGTGTACATCCTGTGGCTGGTCGAGCACTGGGAGAGGTGGCCTACTCAGATGATGGCCGTAAACGTCGTGCTGTTGGCCAAGCCTAAGGGAGGATGGCGACCCATCGCGCTCTTCCAGACCAGAATACCGCGTCTGGCCCCAGGCGCGGGTGCAGCTGCGGGAGTGGCTATTCGAGCACGGCAGGCCCTATTTCGCGCTGGCGACGGGCAAGACCACCTGGACGTGGCGGCGCGGGCCCTCCTTCGTGCAGAGGCGTTGCTCGCTTCCGGCAGCGGAGTTGCCGCCGCGATCGTGGACATCGAGAATTGCTTCGGTCGCATCTGCTGGCGTCGCCTGGTGGCCGCGGCAGCTAAGCACGGTTTTCCGAGGCCAGCTGCTCTCCGCTGCCTGGCCATGCACCGATCCCCGCGTCGCCTCGTGTGGCTGCAGGCAGCGTCCTATGCGGTGGTGGTCCAGCAAGGGGTGCTCCCTGGCTGTAATTTCGCCATGGCATTGGTCCAGCTCCTGTTGTTGTCGGATATGGATCAGTTCGTGCTGGATGCCAGGCAGCGCAAGCAGCATTTTGCCGCGGGTCTCTCTTTCTCGCTGGACATTTTCGCCGACGATGCGACGTTGCAGGTGATGGCCAAGAGCGGGTATCTCACACTGAGGGCTCTCGAGACCATCCACCTCATGCGCGACGCTCTCGTCGATCTGGGGCTGCCGGTTGCCAGGGCCAAGGCTATGCTTGCGGCGTCCGGTGCCAAGGTCGCCTCGGGAAGCTGCGGCGCCTCGGCTTCAGACCGCCGGCCCAGCTCGGCGTTCTGGGCCTGGAGGTCGGCGCCGGGAAGATGGCTACGGGCCTGGTCTCACGCCGCCGAGTGCGCAAGGTGGCCAAGCGCTCCAGGCACTGCCAGAGGCTGAACGCCCTTGGGGCCAAGTTCAGGAAGGTCGAGCGCGCTGCAGTGGGCCCTGCCATCACCTGCGGCCTGGGCATCGTCGGGGCCCTCCCGCACGTCCAACCGCAATTCAACCTTGCGAGCGGTCCTTCGGCACGTAACAATCTTCTCTATTTCCCATTCGACCGGGAACAACATGGCAAACACCTATCGCATCAATCTCGGTTTCGTACTATCATAGCCTTCCGCTCCTCCTCTGGTCGCTTGGACCTCCCTACAGTCCACCCTTCCTTCCTCGGGGCCGCTCCGAGAGTTTTCGAGCCGGGCCGCGGTCGTCAGAGATATGACTGGGGGTCAAGGCTGCAGCTGGAAGATGACTGGGGACGACGGTGTTCCGCGTTGTACATCGCGCCCACGTTATGCGTCTGTCTATAATGCAACTCTCTCTCTCTCTCTCTTTCCCTTTTTTTTTGTTCTCTCTCTCTCTCTCTCTCTTTCCCTCTCCCCTCTCTGTCCCTCATCAGGTTCCGATGTGTACAAATGAGGGTGACGGGGCCGAACGGTCATTCACGGTGCCAGAGCGCGTTGCCAAAGTCACATTAACGTGTTGTTGCTTAGTTCTTGCGCTGTTGATGCCGTCGTCGTCACCGTCTTCGCCCGCGACCCGCCCGCGACCGACGCTGCGAACCACGCCGCGACCCACCCGCGACCCACCTACACAGCGTCGATGAACAAGTATGTGCCCGTTGTTGGCTCGTTTCGTAGTTCGTACAAGCAGGCGAATGCGGCGGGCTTCGCCAACGCGTAGCAAGCTGCCGGCGACGCCGCTGCCTTCCCCCCCGCTCGCATCCACAACTGCGGGGTGCTACGGGAACAGATTGTTTGGCCATGGCCCGAATACTTCGCCACGAAGGGAGGGAGAGACACAAAGTCAACCTCAATGGTTTTCTTCCGTCCATCCCATCCACTGTTCTAGCGCCCCCCTCCCCCGCGTGCGCTGGCCACTTCTATCGCGCCGCGCGCAGCGTCGTGACAGCGCGAGCCACAGGGCGCGCTGGGCATCATCAGCGCCATGTTGATGACTGTTTACCTTGCTTTTGGGGGCTGGACGAGCCTCGAGCCCATCTGTTTGTACACTGCGCACGATGCGTGCGTTGCGCGTGAGCATCTCGTCTATTGCAGGAAGCTGGCGTACGTGCGCCACTCTATAAGGTGGGCGCCAAGTCAACGAAGCGCGGTCGCACGGGAGAGGACGGCACCATCGTGCGCACAGGGTGGAGGGACGCCGCTCGGATCAATCAGATTCGGGACCAGGCAGCTTCCAAATAATAACCAACGAAGATTTGCGAGTCTGTTGTCGGCTTAGTGATTT